GATCTGAGGCAGTGCTTGGCACCGCAGCTCTGAATTTGTGGACGGGACTCGTGCCTCAGCCCAGACCAGAAAGACCTAAGCACATGTGCTTGGAGTACTCAGCGCCGCGAGAGCTGATTTTTCGAGGTGAGGCGGCCATGAGGGCATGTGCACTGCAACCCCTCCCAACAAAATCTCACATTAGAACGCCCGAGCTCACAGAGTAGATGCAACAGCGGGCTGTTGTTGGACGAGGCCCGAGGACCGTTTCAAGTTCTGTTGCATCTGTGGGCTTCTGGCATCAAAGAGCCAGGTGCTGGTGATCATGGCCAACAAAACATGGCGTGATGAGATGACGACAAACGGTGGCTCGGCCACTGTAGCAGAAGATCAGCACCTCTCGTGCAGAAAAGTGGCCTCGCGGAGCTTGGCCGGGTCATTAGTAAGTAGAGAGTGACAGGATGCCATTCGCTCATGTCCGGTGCTTGTAGGAACCTGAGTCGTGGCATACCGGAGGTCTCAACGCAACGTTGGACCAACGAGGGCTGGAGCTCGTCGCGGCATGGAACGAGACATCAGACTCACGTCTCGTACAGGTTGCCTATTGATCAGGATGTCCGCATGCACAGTTTTCATAGCAATTCCGTGCCACATGTAGCTGCCCTTTGAGAAAAGACGCTCCACCGCCCAGGAGATGCACGCATTTCTGGTGCGGTTGGTGCAGTCCAGAAATGGACAGATTGTGAGCATGCAGGACGCCTTGCACCACTTAGACTTGCCCCTCTTTGCTGCTCTTTGCGAGGGTGCTTTGACCACCAAGTCCCCAGGACTTGGTGCACTTCGCCGGCACGATAACGGTCGGACGAGGTGAGCTCGAGATTACCTTCAAAGAGCTGAAGAGTGCAATGCAGGACTTCTTGGCGGCAGTTAGCTTTCTCTCTTCAACATCCGCACAGTGCTGGTTTACACAGATTGTTGTACATGGACACATGATACATATGTGACTGTGTTTTGTTCAACTTCAATCTGCCTTTTGTAGCCGTGCCGAAGCTTGGATAGTTCTGTCTAGCGGCTGATTTCACGCTAGCGGGAGGGCGCGCTGTCCTGCGATCCGATGGTTACTTACTTTGACAATCCGTTGGTCGGAGAGCTTGCAGCTTCGAGTCCCACAGATGGGCCAAAAAACAGTGGCGTACGCTCAGGATCTTTGGTTCGTCGACTTCCCGAAGCAGACAGATATGAAGAAGGGATCTCTGGTTCGGGTCCAGGCGAGGGCAGTGAAGCGACTCCTCCTAGCGTCAGTTTTTGACGGGACCGTGCTCCATGGACAGGAGCGTCAGAAAGGAACTGTAATTGCAATTTCGGCAGACGAGCCGCGCCCTCAGCTGTGAACATGCAGGCTCGTGCATGGGCTCCTTGTCACGGATTGACGTTGGCCTTGTGGCATGAAGGCAGCCGCGCGAGTCGCAATCCACGTTGCTACTGGTCTGGCTGCACAGACTGACTAGCCAAGGAAAGTGACAGTGCAAATCGATGTAGAGGACCAAGACGAGCTGCTCGACTGTAACGCAAACGGATATACTAACACCCGTTTGTACGATTTTGTGGGCTATCTACGAAAATGCTGTCGGCGCGAGCAGTGCGCGAGCATGGCTTGACATTGCCAGGGCTAAGCGGATGTTCAAGCACACTGCATTGGCAGGCAAGTGCCTCATTATTTGCGACTCGATTGTGTTTTTGGTTGAACGGTTAGGCTGGCTTAATTGGGACAAGGGGCAGACAGGCAGGAAGTGGCATCTGAAGCCGGAACACATACGCATCAAACCCCCAGCACTCATCAGAGACATCAAAGGTTCGGTACGACTGCAGGGTTGTTATTGCAGGACTGTCGTGTGCCACATTTCCTGACTAAGTGACGTTGGCATGGGCGTCTATGCCATGGAAGACGTCACCGTTCGCATGGCGCCACCACCCATACCGAAGATGCTGGTGCCGAAAAGCCGCGAAGCCGCAGAGGGCGACAGAGGGGCTGGAGACAAATCGTGACGATGCCATGCCAGTAGGAAGCTACAAAAACTTTCATGGCCGAGGCATGCAGGGATTGGCTGCCACTCTCCAGCCTCGTTCTGAGAAGATTTGAGATGGGAATTGTTTTTTCTCAGTGTCATGGTGCACCAATGCCACTTGCGTTTGCCATGTGCGGCCCAGTGAGCCCTGAGGTTTCAGGTAAACAGCGTCCGCGATGACTTAATAGCCGTGGCCCGGCAGCTCCAGGCCCACATCCTCCTTGTGAAAACCGAGCGTTGCAAGTGCTGTGGCAAGCCATTTCCTGTTTCGCTTAGCCGGTGGACCTGTGAGGCGTTCATGAGATGGCACATGCCTGTCAAAATGCTCATCGTTGTTTGCTTCGTGTTTGCACGAGGCTCCTTGCCACTTGTCTCGCAGATAGAAACTGGCATTCACTCCACCACTCTGCCAGGCAGAACCCGAGGATTGTTCCGCATTGATGCAAAAGACCGTGATGAGCCGCTGTTGCGGTCATTCATGAAATGAAACGACCCCACTGCTGATCTTGCTGATGAAGATGGCGACAAGAGGATGACGATGGTGATGATGATGACGATGAGGTCACGTTGATAGCCACCAAGCCGATCATTGGTGATGTCTTCCTATGATGCTGATGTTGGCGATGGCGATGAAATTCCGGGAGGGGGGGGCGGCTTCAGGATTGCTTTGGTTTCGTCATTGCGAATATATTACCAGTTTTTTGACTAGTCTTAGACCACCACTATGCCACTAAGCGCCTCTTCGTGTTGCTTCTGTCATCACACAGTTTGAGCTCTTTCTGTCGCCACGCGGTTTTAGCTGGAGCTACGATGGTCCTCCACCCGACCTTAAGTAGGGTCATGCTTCTACAGGTATGCCTACATAGTATTTAATATGCCTTTACTTACTAGCACAACTACAAGCGTGGAGAGTGTTGCCAATCAGAGCTGATAGTGCTATTGCCTTTTCGTCAAGTTGTGTTGCCCCTGCCCATCTCATCCTTGTGCTGCTGTGCTGGTCACTGCTGAGGGCGTGCTACGGCTACATCCACGAGAGCAGTTTCTGCTACACCGTCGAAGAGTACATATGCCATGTCAGGCCTCGTACATGATGGGACACGAGCTGTTGTGTGGACGTGCTTTCGCCCGCCTCATGGTCCACGCGTAGTTATTTTGCAGGGTGATACGAACCCAGAGTCGCCCAATTGCCCAGAAACTCCGTGTTGTGCGTGGTGATGGTGATCCTCTTCTTTTGCCGAGCGCGTGGCGTACGTGTTGCACGAGGCGCGATTCTGAAAGCTTAAGAAGATTGGGAGTCTTGGTATCGAGGAGGTGCTGCATCACCACAAGAAGCAGACCAAACTTAGCACATGAACTCCGAGGTCTTTTTCAAATAGCTGTCAGCCGATTCCAGCGAAGATTGGCACCGGACTGTTGGAAATTCTTCAAGCGCCTTGAACTTGATACTGCTTTAACCGCGGCAGACCCACTCGTGAAGTTTGCGAGGCACGTGTACGAAGATAGGGGGCAACGGCACCAATTTTCACCTGTGTGATCCAGTGATGCGCACATGTGGTTAGTTTTGAGTCACGAAGCTTTGCAAGAATTAGCTGAGACCTGTGGACCATCCGTGCCTCGGAAGCACTCATGACGAATGCCGTGGTACACCTACTACAGAACCATCCGACAGACCTGACCCGAGCTTGCTGCAGTGCTGCTGATGTCGACCCTAGCCTAAACTGTCCCTCACACATAGTGCCAACACAGGGCTTCACTACTACTGCTACTGCTGCTCCTACTTCTACGACGATGCGCGACTGCTGCTACTGCTGCTGCTTCTGCTACTATTTCTCCCACTGCTATTGCTGCCACTCGTACAGCTCACTACTACTTCTGCCACTGCCAGCACTACTACTACTACTACTACTACTACTACTACTACTACTACTACTACTGCTACTGCTACTGCTACTGCTACTGCTACTACTACTACTATTACTACTACTACTACTACTACTACTACTACTACTACTACTACTACTACTACTACTACTACTACTCCCACTACTCCTACTACTCCTACTACTACTGCTGCTACTGCTACTACTCTGTGAACGAACTACTACTGCTGCTGCTGCTACTACTACTACTACTCCTGCTGCTGCTACTTCTACTGCTACTATTACTACCACTACTAGTACTAACAGCTACGAATACTACAACAACGACTACGACTACTACTACTGTTACTACTACTGGTATTGCTACCTCAACAACATGCCTTGATTGCGTCTGTATCGTCGCATTTATCACAGCCCATCACAGTAATATGACAGACCTGGCGATGCGTGCACAAGTCCAAGCCGCAACAGGACGATAGAAAGGGTACGTGCATGTAGGCCTTGGCTTCGACAGTAACTGTAAGTAAAGGTTTGGAACTGGACGATGATGATGATGTTGATCCGTGTTGCCTCGTGCGACAGCTCAGAGGTACCGAACATCGCAAGACTGAAGTTCCTGCCTCAGTGGTGCGTCGTGTTTCTGCGAAACTCAGCAAACTCCATGCCAGCCCTCTCTGTCTGGTGGAGGTTTAGGGATTTCGTCTGTGCACTTTTTGCACAAGTTGCCCTGAAATGGGACAGCGAGAGAGGGATTACAGGAGCTGAGCTGAGCTGTGTCCGAGGTTTTGTCCTGAGACGGTGGGTCGGAGATAATGTTCAGGCAACTGCGAGGCCGTGTGGCGAAAAGCGCTCGCCGGCAGCTTTTGCTCCGGAGCCAACCATCCGGGAGTACCCACAAGAGGTGCTGCACAGTGCCGTAACTTAGATTCAAATGCTTAGATGGGAAGCGCCACAAAGTCTGGCAAAAACGATGCGAAACAAGACAGCAACAGCATCCGATCTAGAGCACGACTTAAAGAGGGCAGGATTGAGAAGCAATGCTGCACCAAGTGGGCACAAACCTGCCTCGACCAAGTCTTGCGGATGCAGCACGGCTTCGTGATGTTGGAGGCTTTACCGACGTCGAGGCGGGCGGCATGTTCTGGAAACCCTTGTTGCTCAACACTGTTTGGACAACCTTGTCGAAGTTGTAATGGAGCCCATGATCGTGTTCACGGAAGCTGGGCCTTGGCAACTTGCAGGTGGAGGTTCGAAGAGATCTCGCACACGAGGCGAGCTAGCAAGTCTCCAGAATGTCCGGTTTCCTGCAGCAGCTTCTGCCCCTTTGCATTCGATTCCTTGTCAGGGCCCTTTGAAGGAGGTCAAGCCCAGTGCCCCAAAGAAGGGCATCCAGAGGACCCTGACTTGCGAGGGCGACGCATCCGCTCCCGTGGTTACGAGTCCATAAATAGGACTGACTATCTACTTTCGCACTGAAGGAGTCTATCTGCAAAGGATCTTGAAATCGCCATGCGACGTGCCAGGCTTACTAGCACAAATCTTGTCCAACAAGCACGCGCGCGTTAAGACTTTGGAAAATGATCTGCAGCAGGCATTCATGACCACATGCATGCACAGTACGGAGTACCATTGCAAGCAGTCACAACTGCCGAAGTTCTCAGCTTCTTGCGAAAGGTCATAACTCGCCTATCAATGACGGATGAATGTCGGACTGAAGCAAAGCCCAGCTCAGGTGCTCGAAGCGTGGCCAAAGCCGAGAATAGCTGCCCAGACTTGCTGCTCGGCTTGTAAACGGCAGTGCAATCGCTTTCTTGAGTGCTGTCCAGCCTTTCAGGCTCTTCGTGCAAAGGCACCTACCAGACATGGCCCTTGGGACTGCAACCAGGAGGATGCCGCAAGTACCGCAGGTGCCAACCCCTTGTTTTGTCCTTGAGGTCGATTTTGGAAGCTCTTTTGCTCCAGAGAGCTGCTGAGCTCCGGGAGCCGCGCGCCTAAGTCGTGAACACGGCTAGGTTTCGACAGGCCACCTGCAACGAGACATGTCAAGCCTTTTCAGTCCAAGCAGGCCTTTGCAGACGTGCTGCGTGAGCTCTGAATCCCGAGCACTGGTCCACATGCTAATGACTCATAGCTGCAGCAGCACATGCACATTTAGAACAACTAGCTTGCCTCTTTTATGCAAGAGGTCCCAGGGACACAAAGAGAATGGCATGCACTGTCCAGTGCCAGAGCTTCAAGACGGCATGAATTCGCAGAGCCAATGATCGTTGTCGGTGCCACCTGTATGTTTGAGGCATTTCCTCAGAAGCCGCGGCATGCAGCTGCATAACATGCTGAGTGCAACATGTCGCCCAGCGTTTGGAAAGGAATCACGCCCCACACCGCTGCAACCCTGAAGTAAGGGAATCTCGCAGAAAGACCGAGCGCCTCAGCTAAACCCTTCCTGCACATCGGAATCTTGCCTACAATCTACGGAGGCTGCAGAGATGCTAGTGACTAGTGGTGTCACCTGTTCGAGTTGTGCAGACTTTTCCTGCACCGTAGTCCACGCAAACGATAGGACAAAATCGCAGTGGTTCGCTTTAAGTCGGACATTGTTGAGTGACATTGCTGCTGTGTTTCATGCTTAATGCCTCGTGTCAGTCACCCGGCTGAGTTTGTCAGGTGTGCAGTTGGCCCTCAAGCTTGCCATGCGAGAGGAAAGAAATCTAGGAATGTCGGCAGTTCTCGGAAGGAATTGAGTCGAGAGGAAATGCCGTCGGCACATTGGTCCAGCAGAGATCTCTGAATGAGTCTGCCACATCATTGGCATTGCGGATGACTTTCTAAGCTGGCATGGAAGTGGCGAGCTATGACAACATGGCCGTAAGCGGCTTTGAGCATCAACTCATCTTCCACGGCAGCTGGGGTTGTGCAGAAAAGGTCAGCTGCAAATTGAGGGAATGGCTTCATGCCTGCTGGTGACCGGGTGTTGCACGTCTTACTTACCTCTTGTCGAGCTACTGCTGCTACTGCTATTGCTTCTGCTGCTGCTCCGACTACCACGGACTACGTACTTCTACTGCGGCACTACTACTACTCCTTCTGCTGCTGCTACCACCAGCTACTCAGCGAATACCTACTACCTGCTACAACGACGACGACTACGACGACAACCACGACGACGACGACTACTACTACTACTACGACTACTATTACTACTACCACCTCCACTTTTACTTCTACTGCCACCCTTCCTTCTACTATCTCTACTCAGTCGTTGTCCTCTCGGTCGGAGGCAGGCATGTTGCAAAGCTGACCCTGTCCACTGCACCCTGTGTGAGTGTTCAGTATTGAGGGGCTGTTTTTTCGAGCTCAAGTCTTCCACCGTTGGCGGGGCTGCCGTGCAACTGTGAGTGGTCAGCCAGGCACTGCGACCTGTCAAACTCTTCGCAGCCGATGGTTTTGTGGCTGGCACTGTGCTCATTTATGCTCATGTTCTGTGTTCGTACAATACAGTAGCGCCACGTAGCGACCGCAAGACTGCTGCGGTCAGCTGGGCGTTGCATTTACTGCCCAAAACCTTCGGCTGCCATTAAGTTCGAGGCGAATTCAAGAATACGATGAGTGTTTCTGATAGCACAGAGCTGTTGGATTCGCCGAGGACTTGGTAATGTGTTTGCACAGCATGCCTGACACTAGTCCATGTGCAAGCCTCCAGCGCGACATGGTGAAAGAGACGCTGCTTGTAGCACTCAGTCCAAGAGCCAAGGGTACTCCGAAGGTGTCCTGATGTTTGCAGGACAGCGTATGTAATGACAGAGGAGCCTTGCCCAACCTACGAGCCTCCACGTTTGGCATGGAAGAAGAATCGAAACAGTCGGCAGCTGCCGATCAGCAGCGAGGGCCTCCTGTAAGAGGAGGACGCTGCAGTACTGTCGAGAATTCCGAACCGAACACCCGCCACACGGGCGAAGATGTGGCATCCTTTCAAGGTTGGAACTTGGTTGGAGCATGAAACCCCTTCAAAGCCCTACTGTAGTGCGTCTCACATGCGCCAGATGTGTTTGTATGATCACGACTTCGGGCAGCAGTTTTGTCTCGAGTATGATTGCCACGGTTGACTTCTTGTTAAGCTGTAGCCAATCAGGTGCCGCCTGTGGGCAGAACGAGTGCAGTAAAACACCGAGCAGCACACGCACAAGCAGATGCACAGCCAACCAGTCTGCATGTCAAACGGGAACCATATCTACAGATTTGCTCCCGCGACGCTGATCGGTGTGGACGTCATGGCAGGGAAAGGCGGCCCCTATAAGGCACAGCGCAGATTGCCACCTTAGTGTAGTTACATCTCGGATACTCGGTGCCGGTCATTCTCAACAGCACTTCATACTGAGGCCCTTGATGCAGGAGTAGCTGCTCAGGGGCTGCTGCTCGGTGAAATTCTCAGGTGTTTGTCGGTGGGCTACCTCAAGAAGTTACAACAGATGCCTCTTGCCTGAGATAATCTGGACATGCATACTCGTTCGTGCTGTTTTTTTTCGGGGAGTGGTACACCAGAACCTGCCTCAGTACTCGCTTCAGTGGCCAGGTCCTAAGCGACTATTTCTCCACCTTCGGAACGCTGACGGATGTCGTGGCAACACCCACACGCTTGCCGGGGATCGGGAGGGGAAGGGGGGGAAGTTTCAGCCAAGGCGGGACTTTCCTACGGCCCCGGGGGGATCAGTAGTGGGATACACTTAAGAGTGGCGATGTCAACAAGAAGAGCTTCCGACGTGCTCGGAGCCCTCGTTGATTCTGCTGCTCTCCAGTGAACAGCGAATCTCCACTTTCCAAGCCATCGATGTGCTCGGAGGTCATGACAGATCGCGGAACTGGGCGTTCGCGCGGTTTTGGCTTCGTCTCTTACGAGACCCCTGAGCCAGTAGATGCCATCATGTCCATGCACAAGGATCGGAAGTGTAGATGGACTCAGTGCTTCAGCAGGATACGGATTTGGAGGCATCGCGAAGGCAGTAGATTGATTGTGTTTCGATGCCCAGATGTCTTTAACCAGCCTGCTAAGTGAAAAACCTTGAGAAGAGCCTGCCGAGGAGCATAACATCATGGGCAAGTGGATCGACTGCTGCTGGACAGCAAGTTCTGGTTCGGTCACGCTCCACGATTACTACTACTGTGTGTGTCTTAGACAGAGTAAAATCTGGCGGAATTGCCGAGGCAAACCTGCCACAGCAGAGGGGACCAAGGGAGCTCCCAGCAAAGGAGGCGGCAAAGATTTCGGCAAAGGTATGCCCAAAGGCATGGGGAGCCTCGGCCCTGCTTCAGAAGCATGAATTGTTGGGCAGCGTCGTTGAAGTGCACATTGGCTTGCAGTAGGAGTTGAGTTCATCGCCACAATGCCCCCAGCATTTTTGTTCGACACCCTCATATCCCCTGTCACCATGCAAGGAAGGACCGAGCTGGAGATTGGAAAGGCACTCGTGCGAATTGCTCCTTTAGAAAGTATGTGGGATAAGCGAGCAGCTGGATTCTCCTGATTTGGGTAAGATACGCATGCAAGGGGATCCTGACGAGTCAAAACAGGATGAGCACAGACCCAAACAAGGCTGTGCAGCAAGACCGGGCAGGCTTTGTCTAGCGGCACAAGCACCTTACGCATGGAAGGCGAGATTCCATCTGCAGACTCTTCAAGTCTTGAACTCACGCCCTTCCTTTGTCTTACGCAGGTAGAGGAAACTAACAAGACCAGCAAATTTCACTGACCGCACGGCGAACAATGGAATCTGGCCGACATCAGCCAAGCTCTGACCATGAAACCCGTCCTTGCATGCATGCCCCAAACTTTCGATCAGGCACAGGCGGGCGGGAAACTTTGACGGTACTTCTGCAACTTGAGGCACTTGAACCCTGTGCAAAAGCCATACAACTGCAGATCGAACATGAATCCAATATATGCCTACACACGGATACCAAGCCGCACACTCTCGCATCAACAATCGCGGTCCCCTCTCTTAGCCCCTCGGAGCCTACTGGTTCGACCCACAGCTACATTGAGCAGTGTGGAAGTCGCATGCAAAGAAGACACAGAAGAGACTGTCGCTGTTTTTCGTGGAGGTGGTAAGCCAGATGGAAGCTACGGAGCCAAGAGCCCCGCGGCTGCAAGGGAACGTTGCGCGTTTGGGTTTTCAGGCTCGGCTGTCCCTAGAAAGCCCCAGCTCTGGCGACCCTCACACATCACTCTCCAAGCAAAGCAGAATACCTGGAAACGCATGAATGTGAGCACTTGCATGCGTTCAAAGGCTCGAGGCCCTTCGCTCTAACCCAGCATGGCGCCTTCGATGCATGTCTCTTTGCAGCCTTGTGCTGCAGAGGTGGAGTCAGAGCTGCCACCCCCATCGTGGGATCCCACAGACTTTCAGGATGATCAAGACGTCCCAGAGCCGGAACGGCAAATATTTTCGGCCGGCTTCGTCCACGACGCATCCGTGGAGACTGGGTCGTCATGCGGCATCTCCTCCTGGGATTCGACAGACTCTGAAATCTCGGTGCAGACCTTTGCTAAGCAAAGGCTCAGGAAGCAGCGGAACAAAGAGCGGTTGGAGTTGTTTTTGAAGGAGCACAACTTCTCCAAAGACGTCAGTGAACCCAGGCTGCCACGCATGTCATGCACCGGCTTCGGCAAAGAAGCGTTATATCCAATCCATGTCGCTGCAAGCCTCGGAGATGCTGAGATGCTGCGCCTGCTGGTAAAGGCAGGTGCCGATCTGCAACAGAGGACGTCCAGGGGCCGGACTGCGACCCACTTCGCTCTCGAGCGTGATGATTCGGGCTCACACCGGGACGTGCTTGATCTGCTCAGAGGCAAGATTCAGACAATGGCTTTGCGAGAGTTCGTGTCGCTCATGAAGCATTGATGACGCCCTGGGCATAGCTCACTTGATGCCTGATCGGACAGCATAAGCGAATCCGTCATGCACATGTGATTTTCACTTACAAACATGTGCGCATCTTCCATCACATCGTTCCGGCATCGTCGGCACATGCGTCCTCGGAACCTGTCAGAACAAGCAAGTTTTCACCCTTCGCACGCCAGCGGAAACAGGTCCCGGGACGGCTGTGTCGACTTGGCGCAGGATGTGGCCCACAGCGTGGTACCTCACAGCATTGCCAGTTCCCATCAACATGGATTTTTCAATCAAAATTTCACATTGTCCTTGAGGCGTTCCCACGTCATGTTCAAGGCTGAGTTGTCTTTCACGTGTTTCAACAGCATGGGTGTGGGGTCGAGTTATGACTCCACTGTGACTGTGACTTATGAACCCTCCATTCCAGGGTTGTGCACGACGCCAGACCCGGCACTCAACCGGCCTGCTGCAGAGCAGCAAAGACTCGGTATTTCTTTGTGTTTGAAGTTGAAGCTTGGGGGATAGCTTGGAGAGACTAGGCCCTGCAGACTTCCGCGCAATGACCATGATGTCCAAATGCGCGTCCGTGTCTTCCTCGAAGTGATGTCTGCTCTCAGAGCGACACACTTAGCCGTCGGAACCCGCCAGACGAAGCAACAAGAAAAGGGGCCTGGCTCCTCACATGAGATATGAGCAGCTCCGCAGGTTGCTCGATGTGCTGTCTGCTCTGAGAGCGACAGACTTGACCGTCGGAATCAACGTCAAAGTGGGGCTCTGCTACTCACATGAGATACGCTCCACGGGTTGGACTCACACTGACGGGCCGTAGGTGCCCTGAGTTACATAATTGTACATGTACAGTATAGCACGAAGAAGGTGCCTCAATTTTTTCTTCAAAACTGTGACAAATCAGAAAGAGAAGCATCCTTGCGTAGAAAGAGAGGCATTCTTGCGTTGATGCCCCTGGTCTTCCCTGGCTGTGTTCTCAGAAATGTCGTGGCCCTCTGTTTGGCCCCAACGAAGGCACCGACCACAGTGAGCTTCAAATAGACCTCGCCAGGCTTGTCCGAGAGCGAGTGTCAAAAAATTAGAAGTCGAGAGCCATGGCACCGAATTGCTTTGCCTCCAGGCAGCCAGAAGCGAGAGAAGTTGACTCGGCTCTGCCCATTCTGGAAGCTGCGAGCGCATCTCAGCCGCACCGCAGCGGCTCCATGGACTCTGCTTGTTCCAACACCTCAGAAGAGTCCTGCAACAAGTTGTACTCTGGGGACAGCCTGCGGCTGTACGTGAAGAAGCGGCAGCGGCGACAGAAGAACCAGGAGCAGGTCGTGCAGTTCTTGCAGAAGCACAACTGCCGAAGCATCGATGAGCCGAAGCTTTCCTGCTTGTCCTTCATGCGTGAAGTGGTCTATCCGATCCATGTCGCTGCCAGCCTCGGAGATGTTCAGATGGTCCGCCTGCTAGTTAATGCCGGCGCCGATCTGCAACAGAGGACGTCCAGGGGCCGGACAGCAGCCGACTTCGCTCTGGAGTGTGACAAGTTCGGCTCGCACCGGGATGTGTTGGATTTGGTGAAGGTTGGGATACTGGTATCGTCTGTGTTGTGGTTGCTCGTTAGTTGCAGGTCCATGCAGCTCTCTTTGTTCGAACTGGGGTGCTAAGGTTTGGGCCACTGTTTTTCACTGCTTCCCTGCCAGGGCTCCGTGAAGACCATGGCGCTGCGAGAGTTCCTGAGCTTGCATCCGAGCTGGCATGAGGGACATTGACACAGGATCCGCAGCATTGAGATCCATTTGGATGTCTGATCTGACGAACCCGAATCTGTCGGTGCTACAACTCGATGCTTATGTTGAGTGGGTTTACAGAAGCAGGGCTGTTTTTGCCTGCACCTGCTCCAACACTTGTGGTTGCCGACCTCCATATCTTTATGCCTACTTGCATAACGTAGTGCTGAATGTTTTTCTGATGTCCTCGATGGGTACGGAGCCGAGCCATGTTTGACGAATGCCAGCTCAGCCATAGGCAGTTCTGTTGATGTGCTTCGCACTGGGGGAGAGATTAATCCATTGGTAAAACTAGATTTCTGAACTGCCTGGTGTGGTGCTGCCTCGGCTGTTTGCATGATTTCTTAAGTTTCTTAAGTTTCAAGCTCACGAATGTCTGCCTTGCCACGCTCAGAGGCGTTTTGTTGGCACCAGCTCAGTGGCTGGTGAATGCTTTGGTGTATCAATTTGTTGGCAGTGTTTCCTCGATTCGCACTACTACCCTGAACCCTGATCTCAACATCTTCCAACCGCCCATAGGGGAACTACTAGCCTAAAGGTTTCGCTCCGAGCATGGTTGCACTTGCAACGGAGAGCACCCTTGTCGGAGATGTACAGCCGGCTGGACCAATCAGCAGTCTGCTAGCTTGACCAATGTGCTGGGGGGTGGAGCCACCCCACCATCTTGGCAAGCATCTGCGCGCGATCAGCGAACCAAGACTGCAAAGGCCTTGGTTTCGTTCTCGTCAGAAAAAGACAGAACATACAGCAAAGTCCGAGTCGTTTGGGAGGTTCAAAGCTCTCTGAATCTGGGGTCTTGGCATCCAGGTTGAGTCGCTGATAGTGGAGCCTCCCCTTTTGGGAGAATTTGGGAACCCAAGCCAGACTTGGACTCTGGACAGACTTGCACGGCACATAATGCCGGGACTGTACAGAACGAGACGCCTCATCGCACGACCAGGCTATGGAGGCTATGCCGCATTTCCACCGCCAGCCGGCTGCGGAGGAAGCGGCTGTGGTGCTTACGGAGGCTGGAATTGAAGCGTACTTATGATCTTATCTTTGGCGCCGCCTGCGAATAATTACCAACAAAGTGGATGCATGATGTATAATTATTTCAGAGGTGCTGCAGCAGCTGGGGCCTACGGCGGCCAGCTGCTCAGAAAGGGGGTACAACGTGATAACACAGGCTTCTGAATTTCATGTTTGCACACCGAGAAACATACCTACATACAGGCATACTGTTCAGACATACTTGAAAACATACAGACAGACAGACATACATGATCCCGGTCCAGTTTCCTATAGACCCCACCCACATCCACCCACCCTCACCCATCTTTTCTGGAAAAGCTGTTTGTGGGAGCAGTCGCAGGGATCGAGCCTTCGGGGCGCGATCCTCGTGACAGTCGTCGTCGTCGTCGTCGTCGAATGCTGGGATCATCGCCGCAGCACGCATTGGCCACTGGACGCTGGGACTGGACCTGTTGGTGTCAAGCTCCTTGTGACATTCGCAAGTTATTGAATCTGAGACATTCTTTGGTCAAGCTGCAAAGACCATGAGTGACGGCAAGTTTGAACACTCATTTACACGGCATCTCTAACAGGTGCCAAGAGTGGCAAATCGTCGCGGGATGCTCTATAGTTTTACTTGCGGAGACATGGTGCAGAAGCAAGTTCGCGAGCGTAATAAGCCACAGGTGAAACAGTATCGCGAGGTTTTTGACGTGCAGGTTTCCTCTTGGTAGTACGGCGAACGGGAATGTCTCATGTGTACCCAAGTATGGCAGTACTTGCTTGTATGTCCGGCCTGTGTCGAGTCGACTTACTTGCACGGTGCGGCGAAGTGTGCTGAGACTTCATAGGTGGTTGTGGCGGCTATGCAGGCGCAATGCTGCGATGCCGACTCGATCGATTGGGGTCATAGAATTGCGCAACTGTCGTCTTTCGTGGATGTTCCCATAGCCATACCCTTCAATTGTCTGGCTGCTCATCACATGGCCATGCGCCGGCGAATAGGGTTGCGTCATGATGGCAAATCTCGTGTAGGTGGCTGCGCCGGCTACGGGGCTTTCGGTGGCTACGGAGGTGCTGTAACGCTGGTGGCTGTCACCTTGACGTCTTGCAGCTTAACTGCGACGGTTATGCGCTGCAGACGCAGTCGATGGCATTTCGGGAGACAGAAATCGCCGTGTGGCAACAGCAGGTTACATGTCGAACTACTACAGAGATGCGGCCAGGCACACCCAATACAAACAGTCGCGACGCAGGCGCCGGCTGCGGAGGCTATGATGCCTGTGGTGGTCAAGGCTCCGTTTAAACGCGGCTGGAGATAGAAGAATCGTTTGAAAGAGTTCAAGCCTTCAGAAGTCTATGCAGTCTAGCCCTATTATCGAGATTACAATCCTCCTGTGGACAGTTCCAGGGTTGTCGCAGACAGGTGGGTACGGCTGCTACGGGGCTGCTCCTCACGTCAACCTGGCTTCCTTTGGTCACAGCAGAGCCCCGTCAAGTAGCACATGTTGTTGCTGCCAGCTCTCGCAGCTCCGCAGAGGAGCTGACAGTGTGAGGTTTACAGCAGTTGCCAGGACGCATCTGGGGGCAAGGGCTACAGCCCATACTGAGAGCTATGCCACCTGAGCTTGCAGCTGGACGCACTTTGTTGCTTCGAATAAGTCTAAAAATCAAGGTTTCTGTCAAGCAGAGCCTGCCCGGCTCCCTGAACCGTTTGGAATGAGGCCCGACAGGTGCCCTGAGGTCAGTTTTGGCCTTTGAATCGTCAAGCTCGGCCTGAATAAAGTGCACTGACAGAAGCGAGCGCCTCCTTCCTGCGTTTTAGAGCCCGGAAAAGGGCAAGGCCATTGAGCCGGGCAGGCAAGCTTTGAAACCAGAAAGGGGCTAACTATCGACGATGGATGCGTGTTCAATCGCGACCTGCGGAAATTTGAGTCGGCTTCGCAGCTCGCAGCCGAAGAGCTGTGATGAAGTGAGTGTCAAAGATAATTCTTTTCTTCCGGCTCAAGCACACACGGGGAGCCCCTTGATCATGGAACTCATAACTAAGACGCAGAAGTTATTCCCACCCAGGAAGAAAATGAGCCTTTGAGCGGAAGCAGTCCATCTCAATCATCTGCATCATACAAGTAGCAGTATTGAGCAATTTCAAGAAGCCGGTTTGTCCAGGCCTGTACGCCGCCATGATGCCAGTACCTGGCTCGGCGCCGCCAGGCCACGGGAAGCATTTGCCCATGGCATGCTGTCGCTTTCAACTGGGTAGACATGGTAGACAAGAGTCTTTGATTGTGGCAAAGGTAGGGATCTTGTGCTGTGGAGAGCAACCTCACCTTTCCCACGAAGGTTTTCGCAAGCACGTCCGCCTTGTTGTCTCCAGCCACCTACAGAGAGTGGAGCTTCATGTTCTTGTGCCTTGGAACAACTATTCAATTCTCCCTTCACCTAAGGAGAACGGAAAGCGGATATGGATATGCACACACCAAAATGCCAGAGCAACAGGGGCGACAGGGTAGGGCTGTGACGGGTTTCTTTGCGTGTGATCTGCACATATCAGTACGCGACGTCCGAGAACTATGTACTCATACATATAAACACATGTCCTGTATGCATGTACAATACAATGGGTATATATGTATATACACATATACATATACACACATGTACACACACACACATACCTGTTTCTGTGTGTGTATATGATCATATATGCATTTTGGTACCAAAGCCTAGAAAGACACAGACCAGACACAGGCGCCTGGGAAGCTAGTCAGTTCTGATGCTCATATTGGCTCATATGGGAGTTTCCGAAAATTAGGGGTACCTGATTTTGGTGGTCCTTATAAAAGGATCCTACTATTTAGGGTACTGTATTAGGGTCCCCTATTTTCGGAAACTCCCATATGTCGATGTACTGTTCATCGTGGTCCCTGCGGTGCAGCTCAGGTGGAACACTTAGAGACGGCACCTGCTCTGCCGACCTGGAGTTCCCAAGACTGGGACGACTACGAAAAAAGCCACCTGCCAGAGAGAACTGCACCACAGAGTTGTCGATTGTTTCGCCGAGTTAGGGATAAGGCAGCAAAGTGCAAAGCATTTCCATGCGGGGCTGTGACCGGATCTTGACGCTTCTTGAGTGCTCCGGCCTTCGGGTGAGTTTGTCTCGGCGGTTTTGTCAGCTTGCACAGGGCACAGGGGCCTTGTTGCTTACCGTGCTTACCTTCCTACACCCTATGTCGGTCGATGGCAGTGGTGCCCCATGATCTGAGCTACTCAATGCACGATTTTCCGGTGAGGCTGTGTATGGTCGGGCTTTGACCTCGAGTGCGAGGGTTTTAGCATCGAAAAGAGCGAAGCTGCCGAGGTTTTTTCGGCCCAGATCCGATTCTCGACCGCGCGGACTTGCGTTGCCTCCGTAGGTTCAGACCAGGGCCAAGGTCACAAGGCTTCAGAAGTAGGGCCTAGGGGGAAGTCATCAGCAGGCTGGGCTTTGCACTGGGGAGACCCGGGAAGACTTGCGCAGGAGGAGTTTGACCCGCTGCGGCCGCAAGCAGCTCTGCAGCGTGGAACCCGAAGGGTGCAGCCACAAAGCTGTCGAGGCCGTGAGTTTGAGCACGGCCACCGGTAGCTTGGCCAAAGGTCGATTGTGCCTGCTTTGTTAGTTGCAGATTAGTTCGGCGAGGTGCATGCAGCATGCATCTTGAACCCAGGCTTCCTCCCCGTCAGCGGATAGTACAGACCCGATGGCACCTTTGCCGCAGGCGGTGAGAACTTGGGGTGGAGGTTCAGGCTTGAAACGCTCTCAAGAGAAAATAGTCATCCGTCGGACAATGTCGGACAGAGCTGAGGCTGCACTTAGTTTCCAGAGCGCTGCGACACCGCACCGGATGGTGCAACTTCAACGTGGACTACCGAGTCTATGGCCCTGGAGTAACACGTAGGCAAGTCGAAAGATGGGAAAGACGACACGGCTCCTTGCCTGTTTATGGTTTCCCGACTTTACAAGCCGGCAAATTCCTCCTAAGCCTCATGGCACCTCAACCTCAATTCTTCCCACAGACAAGGAGATGTGGATACAGTACGCACGCGGCGGAGGGAGCTCCGGGAAGCCATCATTGAGGAACGCCGTGCAGAGAAGCTCCGCATCAAGGAGGCTCGGAAATCCGAAGAGCTCAAAGCCCAGGCTCAGGAGAGGCGTCAATGTAAGGAGACAAGAAAGCGCCACCGTCCACCACATGCTTCCGCATGGGGGACCACCGAGCATTTCCTCATGGATTCCTTTACCCTGCATGGGCAAGATGACGATTGCGACCGTGCCATGGCGGCACAGCTGGGCTTGGATGACGAAACCTACCGTCAGCTCAAGTCGCTCGAGGGGCGGGAGATCCGACCGGAAGACTACGATCTGCTCGGAAGGCTTGACGAGAACCTCAAGCGCGAAACGCTGGAAGGCAAATGCCTCCATGTCTTCCCAACAGAGGTCTATGAGCTGGGTTCCAAGGAGCCTGCATCTTGCGGTATATGCTTGGACGAGTTTGAGACTGGAGAAGTTCTTCGAACGCTGCTTCCTTGCGGCCATCGATTTCACAGGAGTTGTATCGACCGCTGGCTCACAGAGACGAGCCTTGATGCAATGCATAAGCCATAGCCCCACACAGCAGCTGCGACGCTTTCTGTTCCATTCTCCATCCTTTCATTGTTCATGTGTGAGCATTGGTCAAGCCTTGGCATGCAAACATAACATTGTCTCCAATGCACGGAAAGCACACGCCGGTCTCCTGACCCAGGAGGCCAAAATCCAATTGAATCTGTAGGCCACAGTGGTGTGCTGCTGACGCTCAGTACAGGGCAGAAACGCTCGATACTATTTGTAAACAGGTTGGCTCTCGAATGTTATGAGTGTTAGTCAACGCCTTGTGCAAGGTCCGCGCTTTGCCCTGTGGACAAGATCAACGTCGCTGAGTACCGGGCATGCCTCGCAAGCTCTGGCGGCGAAGGATTGCAACACATCTGTATTGCCCGACATCTGTGATTGTCTCTAACATTGAGAATGTATGGTGACGAGAATGTACATGTGGAAGACACTAAGGAGTTGACAGCTGTGCTCTTCCCCAAGCTGACGCAGTGAGTCCAAGATTGCTGGACAGTCGGCTCGGCATTTCGGCGCGCTATTTCAATGAGGGGTCCCCTACTTAGATCGGCATACCTGGAGGCTGGCTGGCCGGGTCATAAGAAAATGGACCACAAGCCTCACCACCTACCAGCTGCAGCACTTCCTGTAAAGCTGAAACTGAAGAGTTCTGTTCGGATCGCAGAGGTCGTGAAGCCTGTGAGCTCATTTGACAAGGCTGCCAGTGCAGAGTACAGGTTCCCAGGCTATATCTCCTGGAATCCTGCGGCCTTGAAAAATGCAAAAAATTGTGAAGTAGGCTTCCAGGTGACTCAGAGCCTGAATTCCAGTGCATGGGCATGCTCGATTGCATGTCAGCAGCAACAACGCTGCCTTGAGTTTCGAGTTCTCAGCTTGACCGGCCTCGCTTGCAACTGTCATCCTGGTTGAGAAGAAACCTTTGTGAGCCACTGATTGGACTCTGAGCAATGAAGATGCCGCTCAGACATCGTTTAGCTTCGTGAACAGAGGCGGGCTCCAGATGCTTTGAGACGGAAAATCAAGAAGCGAAGGTCATCTCTCCAGACCTCGCTAGAATGAAAGACTGTGCACATGCACAGGCCTCCTTTGCAGAGCACGAGAAGTAAGCTGCACGAGGTTGCACGACTCTTGCGAGTGAGTCACTAGCGCGACCACCCACCCACCGAAGGCACGCACATCATGAGGGAACGTGTTTCGAACAGAGGAACCAATTCAGACAAAAGCTAAGTCTAGGTATTCCGGCCTGCAATACCTGAATAGGTCAGGCTTCCCTTCAGCCAGATAATTCAGAGGCCCTTTTGCTTTCCGATAGAGCCTTGCTTTTTGATCTTGTGCCGCAAGTCCTCGCGACTAGACTAGACTCCTCAGTTCTACCATTTTTCGGCAGAAGCCAAGAAGCATGCGGCGAGTTATTTCACTGGCATTTTCTGCACTTGAAAGCTGTGGGTGAGAGGAGTGTGCTGTAAGTTTTCCATGCAGAGCGTGCATCTGCGACAGTGGCAGGTCGGAAACCCTGCGTACAGATTTAGGAGGTATATAACCACAACTCATTTAGGAGGGTCCATGCTCTATGGGAGTTCCTGACGCAGCACTTCAGCATCCGGCTTACTAGTCCATGGTCGCCAGCTGTCGTCTTCATGCCTAAGCTGAAGGTGGGGACTCTGCTCAAAGAAGGAAAGCTTGGAGTCGAACGCAGATGCTAATTCAGAAAAGCTGCCAACCATCATTTGCATTGAAGCCGGAGCTGTCAGGCATGGCTCTCCGCATCCGGCTAGCGAAATGTCAAGCCGCATCGAATTTCTTGGAATTCTCTGCGTCATTGTTGGAGCCAACTGCTGCTTGGCAATAACTGGGGTCTCACACTGTCCGAGATGTGGTCACCACGAAGAACGGTGCGACAGCAAAGGTGCTGTCGTGGCGCATTCGACACTCGGCATTCAGAACACGGTTGGCTATTGATTGTGAGCTGGCATGGACAGGATATCTCTGTGCAGAGACTTGTGCATGTGCAGGCTATTGGCTGAAAACCACGAAGCAGAACTGAACAAGTGGGTAGAGCGATTCAAGGCCAAATGCAGAGAAAAAGAGGGAGAGCTCCTTGGTGGTCTTGGCTGTGCGGAGGGAAGGTTGATTGCCCCCAAATCAGTTGGCGGCGAACTGGCGCGGGGCGGCAATCCCTCTCACCCACCGAAAAGAAGAGAAAGAAAGGCAGAGGTAGACTGAGTCAGCAGGTCCGGCTCCTGCACTCACGCAGGATCACGGCATCATTCAAACCCAAACTAGTCAAAGAGGCATGCGATGGTCTCATGACATGAGGTTCGTGAGGCTCCTGAAGGGAGTACCACTACTAGATGCATCTTGGCATGACCTTGGCGTGATCAGGAAGCTCTTCTTTCCCTTGGGCGGCTCCTTGCTCCGTCCGAGGTGATACAAGTCCGCTTCGGGTTGCAATGCTGCGTTATGACCCTCGTCGTTGCAGTGCTGCGCTGGAAAGGTTTCGAGCCCAAGCCGAGACAGCGAGTCACTGTGGGGGTTCTGGGAGATTTCGTAGTGCACCTCCGTTTGACTTCAGGCCACAATCTTCGTTTTTTTGGCGTCCCTGGACAGCAGAGACATGGCTGCAATGGGCGTTCCAGGTTTTAACCATGTCAGGCTTGTAGTAGCAAGTCAAATCAATCCGACAGTTGTAGACCTACCTCGGGCGATTCCGAGTGTCGGGCGCCGAAGCCTTCAACTGGATTTTCTAAACCCCCGAAATCCTGAACCCCTTGATCCTTGTACCTGAACCTTGTGACGTGGTAGTGGAGATCCTGTGGACTAGGTGGAACCTTGCCTGCCTTTGCGAGCGTGAGCGTCGAAACCCAGTTTCACATCAACAGACTCGTCGTCACACCCTCGCTTGGAGCGTCCGAGTGTGAGCACCGAAACCCTGGTGGAGACTGCCTAGGGCGAGTGAGTCGAAACTCCATGGCTCGTTGCCTGTCTAGGCATTTGCTGCTACTTCGGTCCACCGCCTTCTTGGCAGCTCTCGGATTTGGCTGGATGGCCATGCAGAAACTTCCTATTGGGGTGGCCACAGGCTCCTGGACCCCAGTTTTAGGGGCTGGGGGAAGGGAGGGAAAGCCTGTATGTATGCAGGTATGTAGGTAGGTATGCATGCGTACATACCGACATACATGCATACACACCTACCGCCATCCATGCATAAATTCATACATATGGTACAGTGAGACTTTAACCAGGAGCGTGAAATTTGCAAGACCGTCCTGGCTGCTAGCTGCGGCGCTTTTGTTACGGTAGTCACTTTCTGGGCCTTCACATGGCGGCCCTGGGTTTGCCTGCAGGCATTGTCTACAGCAATCCGGTGCTGAGTGGCCTGCGTGCACCTCAGGGTCACCCTTCCGCGATCTGCCGGAGGTGACATATACCTCTTCGACACGCCTTGTTTCAAAAACGATCGGACACACACATTCCCAAAAAGTCTTTTCCGCTTGGGCTTTTTTGCCTCCCCGAGGCTGGCCAGCTACATCCTTCGCCGTGAGAAGCTGTCGATGCAGCTTGGCTTTGGCGTCAGCTTCGAGAATGTAACTTCGTGAGAGCAACCCAGAAAATCTCAAGACAGCACCGGAGCAGAGCAACAGAAGGCAACAGGTGCTGCTGGAAACCCTCCGCAAGTTCTGGCTGCTGAGAAGGATCCAAACTGAGTTCTGCTGCACTGAAGAGAGAAAGCAGGATCTTTCTCAGAACTCTCCATGACTAGAGGTCTCGTGTTTTGCATTCGGCGGGTCTACCCTGGACAGCGAAACTAAAATCAGGATTTGAGCAGTCACTAGCAGTCAAAGGAATAACAGTTCACAGATGTTGTCACCGCATGCACATCGGTTGACTGGATGTGTGCCCTGCCAAGGGCCTTTGCTGTGCAGGCAATTGCGACCAGACTGCATCTGGGAAATGTGCATGTGCCGTGCTTCCAGAGTTGTTGAACTGGTCGCACGAGCCCAGTGCTGATGCGCTTCCTCTGAGGTCTGCCTCACCGGCACAGCCCTCATCATCCCGACAGCAGCGAAGGCATCGGAGTTCTGACTTGACAGTCGCGGAGACCACGCGAGAGCAGCCTCGGACGGAGCTGAATGACTTTTGACGTTTGCCTCGACCTGTAAGCACTAGATCAAGCATCTGGAAGTTTTCCTGGTCCAGGAAGGTGGAGCAGACTCGGAGTGACCCTGCATGTTTGGCTTAGCGGATGATCAACATGTTGCAACGTCAGGTGTGCTTTATGTTCCTGTCGCTGTGCCTTGTGCAAGTGACAAGATCGAGAGCCTGACACATTCCAGCCCTATGTGCGATCACCAGAATAAGTTCAGCGGATCTCAAGACGAGTTATGACAACCACGACAATGACCTCAGAGCTTCTTGCAATGGCAGGTCAAACGACTACTTCGTTGGGACTGTGGTAGCAGTGGTGAGTGCTTGCCTTCATGCAGCCGCTTGGTGATCAGTGATGCTACGCCATACTAGGAGGGGCGACTGTCAGGGGTGCTGTCGTTCCGGTGATCGGATGGACAGGGCTTGTGATGCTGAAACGGTGTAGCTACCGATGAGCTTTGGAGTTCCTGGCGCGTGAGTTTCAATCGCAAGAGGTGCCCGGAAGGAAGGAATCCCATTGCACTTCTGCCCAAAGGGGTCGTGAGATGTCTCAGAGTCTCAGCCTGTCCATTTCTTCAAGAGCTCAGACACATGCTCGCTGTGCCGCCCTGGGTATCGAGCCCACACCGGTGCACATCCCAGCTGCGTCCCACCCAGGTGTGTCCCTGCGCTGTGCGCATGATGGAGGTGGGATCTGGGCAAGTGCAGTGCTATGGGCAGACCACGGGAGCTGCTGTTGCTGCAATAATCTTGTGAATTGCTCAGCATACTGCCACCAGGGAGTCCACCCGCTGGAGATCCAGCTTTTCCAGGATGCGTTTGCGACACTGGCCACTGGTCATGATAGGTTAGGGGTAGATGTGGATGCCCGCGTTGGTCAGACATGCTTTCTGGGCTGCATAAAGAGAACGCCAAAGGCTACAATTCCACTGGCTGCCATGTCTGGTGGGCCTGCGGTGGATGTAGAGGCTGATCTGCATGTTTTGTGAGGGTTGGACGTTCTACTACACTAGGAACACAACAGAGCGTGCAGCACTTTGTGGTTCTTGTCGCGCTACCACTGTTTCTGATCGCTCGCGTTCAGATCTACTCTGACAGGTGTTACAAGCTGCCACAGAAGTTATTTATGCTTCACTCCTGTCATTGCCACTTTGGCCGGGCTTCTGTTTGGATCCGGACGAATAGGAATCTTAATTGGCCAGGTTTGGAGCCATGTTCATTTCTCGTACGTGATCTACTTCACCGTGGCGGGGTTGACAGCCAGCTTTTTGGCACATGCCTCAGACATGGGGCTCTGTG